ATGTGGGAGACGCCTTTCTCGCCAACCGACCCGACTTTCCCCTGCACCGTTCAACGTCCCCCCGGTCTCTCAAACGAGGATGCTTATAATCGTCTGTACATAGCCAACCACAATTTGAACGTCGAGATCAACGTTGCCAATATCGATCTGCTCATCCCCAACACTGCGGAATTGAACCAGACGAATGCCGTGTCCGGACCGGGTAGTCTTGGACGGATGGCCGAGAACTGCACTAGTAAGCTCTTATCATGCCCTGGCAAGTCGCTACAAGGAAAGGATGCCCGCCTCTAACTTATCAATAGCCATGTGGAATCGTCCCCCCAACTTCCTCCTCGTCGACTACTACAACTACGGCAATTTCAATGGCTCCGTTTTTGAAGTAGCAGCCCAGATGAACAACGTTACGTACAACGGCGAATGCTGTGGATCCACTTCTGCTGCTCCAAGCTTGATGCCGGCAGGGAGCCTGTGGAGCGCGCTGTTAGTTGTTGCAGGTGTGCATTTGTTCGCCTCGATCTTCTAACTTGAGGTTTGGAGTTCTTTGTATTCACTGTCACCACATAGGCCACGGCTTTTCGTCTACTTGAGTGCGTCGGGAGTTGCGGGTTGCCATTTACGTTGAGCATTATCTTTCATGATGATATGACTGCATCGATACATTTGACATTGTACATATGTTTGTTCATATAGCATTCTTCCTCTACAGAGCAGTATATTTCGGCATAGAAATAGAGATTGTTCTGCATCATGATTCTCAAGAATGATCTGACTGCTATATGGAACAATGGGTTGTTTGCACATAGGTTTGAGTGAACTCCATATACATTCACCTGAACAATAGCGGGTGCCAGTGTATTGTCGAAACGGATCTGTTGATGCATATTCATTGGCTGATCGAATAGGGTTTAGCGCGCTCTAACCACATGATTTCCGGTTCTAAGTCATCATTATCAGTCTTCCATTGTTCGAGCTCCGCACCCGTTCAAGCCCATTTTCCATTTGGTCAAAGGCCAGGCAGTCCCAATTGGCATCTATATAACTGCCAGATCGCTTGAAATCGGCCAGAGTACCAGGAACCTCCCGTACACCACCAACATCCGAAACCCGCAGCAAACCAAGCCGAAATCAAAAATGGTCGACATCGTCCCCCTCTCGTCCTACCCCTCGTACATCGACCTCCTCCCCTCCATCCAAACCTGCAATATCACCAACCTCCCCGAAAACTACTTTCTGAAATACTACCTCTACCATGCCCTGACCTGGCCGCAACTGAGCTTCGTGGCCGTCATGCGGCCCCGCAATGGCTACTCGAAACACAAGGGCAGTGCCGCAGGCACATCAGGCACAGGCACCGCCGACCTCTCCGGGCAGTATCCCAAGGTGGTCGGGTACGTGCTTGCAAAGATGGAGGAGGAGCCGACGGACGGAGTGCAGCACGGGCATATCACGAGTTTGAGTGTGATGCGGACGCATCGCCGGTTGGGTATTGCCGAGAGATTGATGAGGATGAGTCGTATGTTCTCCCCCTTTTTAAGTACTTCTATTCCTGACTGACATTATTTGATTGAACAAAAAAGAACGCGCTATGGCTGAGTCCCATCGCGCGAGTTACGTTTCGCTGCATGTGCGTGTCTCCAACACTGCCGCTCTGCGTCTGTACCGGGATACCCTCGGCTTCAAGGTCGAGTCTGTCGAGAGCAAGTACTATGCGGATGGAGAGGATGCGTACGCCATGCGCCTGGACCTTACCGATCAATGGCTGGACTGGAAGGAGATTGAGCGCAAGGACAGAGAGCGCGCCAAGAGTGACGAAAAGGACGCCGATGAGGGCGACGAGGTTGGAAGTTTGGGTAAGAAGGAAGAAAAGACCGTTCGCGTCAAGGTCGGTCGGAGTTTGGGTGTTGGCGATCTGGTGGAGAGGAATGAAGCCAACCCTTCGCAACAAAGTGTCAGCTCGTAGAACCGAGTCGTCATATATACCTCTTGAGAGCTACCCTTCTGGAGAAATTCGAATCCTCGGCAAACGTGCTCGATGTACAGAATATGCAGTGAAATGTCCATCGAACAAGGGCTATTTGAAATGAGATCTGAGTATCAACATTGTAGACTACAATACGCCCATGAATATGTACTAAAAATGCCAAGTCATAACATCATAAGAGGATCCAGGTATACGAGGATCCTGTACCGGCCAAGTACCCTCTTGTATAGGGCTGGTATTTTCCATGCACTCGTGGCGGTGACACCCGTCCAACGACAGGCGGCCTTCATGATGCATCGTTTGAGCCAGCATCCTTGTCTTTCTTCGACGGAGAATTATTAGTTCCTCTCAACGCCTCGCCTTGTTTCTGCCCATCTTTGCTTTCTTCTGTGTTCACCGGATTTACGCCTTCGCGGTGACTGCCGCTGTCGGACCCAGTGCCTGGTGTGTTTATTGAGCTGATCCCACTGGCCTCAGAACTCACAGATTGCCGTGCTGACGCATGTGATGCGCCTGTGCGAACCATTGTCCCACTCTCCTGGCTATTGCTCAGTTCTAGATTCTGCAGCTGCTGCTCCAGAGGAACTTCGGGAGGATGCTCGTTCTCCCTTGATGTTTGGCGGAACCGTCGTTCCTGACGCCAGCGGTTACGCTTGATCCGCCGTCGTTCCCGTTGTTCATCCTTGGCACGACGGAACACATCCTTGAATGCTTTCTTGGTAGCTCTCACCTCCTCCTTCAGGGCACGCCTCTCAGCAAAGCTCCGCTGCTGCTCCTGCGGTGACTCCCACCGGCCCCAGCTGCCGCGACAGTACCCTTGCTGCCCATTTCTCCAATTGCCTCTTCCAGAAATACGAGATTGGCGGCGGGAATCGCGCAAAACATCGAGCTGACGCCGAAGACCAACTGCCGCTTCGTACAGCTCTCGGTCGTGATGGTTGTTAAGTGATTGAAGCTGCGCTCGAACAGTCGCCAGATCTGTCGAACTGAGGTCAGACGTCGTCGATATCGAATCGATCGATGAAAAAGATGACTCAGATGAAACAGAGCCGACTGATGTTCTACGAGCAGTCTGGGTAGGCTGAGTGATCGGTGGGGTCACGGGTTGAGTTGACACCACATTGACTGGCGGGTAACCGTAGCTATGGGCGTAGAAGCCTTGCGCTTGCGGATTGTTCGTAGGATATTCCACACGGGGCGGGCTGGAGAGGCCGCCAAAAACACCCTCAAGCTTTCGACTGTGAAGTCCGGCCTTCTCCTCTATCCAGCGTCCATGAGCCATGGCTTGCTCTTCGACCTGCCTTCCATAATGTTCCGCTTGCTCCGTAATGCGCTCACTGTACTTCTGCGCATGCGATGCCAGCGATGATAACCAGCCAAGAGGACCACCTTTGGAGGTGCTCGAGTACTGGTACTGCGGACCATACGGAGGATTGTTCCAGCCCCACGAGGGAGGCTGCTGATATTGTGAAGGCGGTTGAGGAGGGTAAGGATATGCATGAGGGGCAGGAGGAGGCGGAGGAGTATTAGGAACCATACCAGGGGGAAAGAAGGCAGGATGACCATATGGTGGGTAGGGAGCAGGAGGCATCTGCGGAGTTGGGTACGGGAACATTCCAGGTGCGTATGCACCGCTTGCTGGTGGTGCTGTTGGTTGCCCTGCAACGGTTGGCAACATGCCCGCGGGGACGGATGAGGGATTTTCCCCAGCTTCTTGTGCCTGCGTTGACCGGTTCGCCCGTGTTGCCCTAGTCGCGGCAGGGTAACAACGAGGACATAATGGAGAGACAGGCGCATGCTCCGATTCCGTCACATAAATGAATTCGATGCGAGTTGCACGAGGCTCAAAAAAGCATTCGTTCCATTCCTCAATCACAGCTGCGATGCGCAGCCTGCGTTGCTCATCGGTCTCTTGGGGGCGATCTTTTCGATCCCTTTGTATCTCGGCTCTCAGCTGCCGAGGCAAGTGAGCTGACGATGCTGCAAGGCCCAGATGCGGAGGAAAGAGATATTTCAGAAACATGTCCCAGTCCTGCTGGGTAATCTCCGACGTCCGAGGGCTCCAACACCGAGGACGCCGGGGAAAGTCTTTAGATTGGCTCCGAGGGTAGATGGTGAGAAGGTGCAAGAGAGTAGGCCGTTCCTCGCCAAAATTTGTCGGAGGTCGCTCTATGAAGTAGGCCGTAGCGGATGCGAAGTTGGCTGGGAGGGCCAAAGACGCCGCTGAGGAACCATCAACGGAAGCTGCGGAGCCATCTCTGGACGCGATATCGCTCAACGACGCTTCACCTCCGCGAAGACGAAGAAAGGTACGAGCTGTCTCCGCCGACCCATTGTTATTTCTATTATTGACTGTCGGCGCGAGTAAGGGATCGACGGCGGAGTATGGAGGAGGGGCCTCGTCAGAATCCATCACAAGATTGTCCAATGATTGTCAACCACAATGTTGGAAGCGACTCTACTGAGAATAATAGACAGTGGGCTGGTTAATGATCAGGCATCGCGCATTTGACTGATTATCGGGAAAGTCCAAATCTCCCCGCAAACAGTGATGCCCGCGCGGCTTGAGACCGGGTGAGTACTGCGAAGGCAGCAGAATTAACGAAAGTCTGTTGAAGAAAACAGTCAGCTCCTTGGGCATGGCTTAAACCTTACTACTAATCGACTGATTTCGCCGGCTAACTCACAAATGTACAAAACTTTTCGGTAATAGAAGCCCCATAAGCAGGACTCTGATGATGAAGCCGAAGCTCACACCGAGTACTGCCCGAAAAAGCGGCGAAGCAGAAAGACAGCGCGCTGATCACGGGATCGGCGGCATGTGATTAATTGATAAGCATCATCCCATTCCTATTGATAAGGCAGGACTCCTCGATACACTCGGCGGGATTGGTAGTCTATCATCATGTTACAATATGTGCGTGGTATCTTAAAGCTATCCAATGCTCCAAAACTCCATGGCTTGCAATGCGGAATATCCAAGAGAGACTTGAGAGTTCAACCAGCCGTATCTATTGCATTAATCCCAGGCGTCACCCCAACCATCATCTTCGCCCTCATCCTTAGGCTTCGTATCAATTCTTTTGGTGGGGGCTACCACCGTCCTGGGTTTGGAAAGGTTGGTATGACCCGAGGTTCGAGTACCGATTGTGGTTGCGGCGGGTTTGCTCAAACCCTTGGGCAAGGGTTTCTTCGCTTTGGCCTTGGATTGTGCGGCCAACCACCCCGCAAAATCAGGCTCACCTCCATCGTCGAAAGGAACAGTGGCGGACTTTGGCGCTGGGGAGCTGCTGACAATTGGGGCACTAAACGGGTCGTCGTCTTTCAATCCATTCTCCTCCTCACCGTCATCAATAGCACCCCAAGCTTCATAGACATCGTCCGTTCCGTTCGCTGTTATGGAGCTTGAAACCGGCTGATCGGATAGAGATCGTCCTAGAGGTTGAGGTTCGGCACGTAATACTTTCTTAGGTAGGTCCAGCTGCGTGGAGGGTGATGATCGCGTGGGGCGAGGTACAGATGCTGAGCGAGTTGCCTCCGTCTCGGCCAGTTTACTAGTACCCGTAGTTGGCTGTATCTCACCGTTCGCTGTCGTAAGTTTGTTGGTAAACGAGGAGATTGCCCACCCGGCCCAGGACTTATCATTTGATGTTCCAATTCGTGCAGCATCCTTGGGTGTTTCAGCGCTAGCAGTGGCTGTAATTGCCGTATCGGCCATTGAGCTGCTGAAGTTGCGAATGCGCTGTAGATACAAGTCTAGAGTTTTGTTCGCTTGGTCTCTCACCAGCCTAGGATTCCGTTAGGGCCAACAATCGAGGCCGAAAAAAAGGATTTGAGACAGAGGACTCACTTCTCTTTATCTAGCAAAGAGGGACAAATAGCGGGAAGAATCTTTCCTGCGCAATCCTCCTCGTTGAAAAACTCGATTGTTGCAGCCAGCGCAAGCAAACCTGCATTGCGGGCATGGACGAAGGGATCTCGCAGCGATCGGGTGAAGGCGGCAATGAGAACCTTTGACCGTGACTGCAGACGAGTTTTAGTACTTCTCAGCGTGTCAGAATAAGTGGCCATTTTGCACTTACACCTTGTCCAAGATGCTTCGCGATTTTACCCAAACAGATGGTCGTGTTGGTCCGAATACCTGGCTGTTCATCGTTTGCGGTTCGTGCGAGGAACTTCAGCAGGTCTCCATTAATAGTTCGATCACTGAGTTTATTGACGACCGATAACACAGCTTTAACAGTCTGTTCTCGAACAACAGGCGCCACGTCTGTGAATCCTGACGTCTAGAAGATCAACGTCAGTGCCTGTCCGGCACAATGGAAGCTCCGCTCAAACTCACCATCTGCGGAAAGATTTTGTCGTTTACAATTTTCTGCGGTAGGTTGTCAATCATGAATGGTAGATTGTCGAGTAGACAGACCCGAAGAGCTCTATCAGGGTTGCCGAACAAGCGGACAATGACAGGCGTTAACTTGGAGTTGTATTCATCTGGTGACAGTTTCGTCCCGATCCTCAAAATAGCACTCAAGACCTTCGGGCCACCACCCCCAAATTCGACTGACTTGAGCAACTCCGGCAGAACCTTCATCTTGAAGAATTCCTCGGGGAAATCGTCTGAAAGCTCATCAAGCTCGCTGGTACAGTCAGCTCACAACGTCTTACCGCAGCAGGATACGCGACGTGCTTTGGACATACCTGATAAACTCCTCCCTCTCAGCATCATTCTTAAGGCCCAGGCTCTCTATGTCGTCCGTCAACCGGATCAACGGTGTCTGAAAGAAGCCACCGGACTTCTTCCCTTGCTCAACAAAATGCGCCGCGCTCAACCGCAGTTTAGGATTGGCTGTGCAGAGACGCTTGTAGCTTTGATGCATGCTGGGTGGAATATTCGTCGTTTTGCCGACTTGGTCACCTCCCGCAAAACTGCCATTGAACACCTCGTATATCAGGATTCCAAGCCCATAAGCATCAACTGCTGCCAAGGGATGTCTCTTGATTATATCCCAGCCGCCCTTGACAACTTCGGGCGGAGTGTACTGAGCCGCGTCTGGTACAAGGCTACCGTATGTCTGTATTTGCGTCAGCAAGTTCAAAGATCCCTCAGACTTGGCCGGCAGTGGTCGACTCACATATATCACTGCATTCTCGTCGTTCATGGAACTCAAGATATCAAACCCCCCAAGCTTCCATTCACCACTCTCACTAGCGAATATTGAGGATGCCCTGACAATCCCGTGAACGGAAGAGGCATCTTCATTGATGAATTTGAGGGTAGACTATAGGAGCAAGGCAAAGGCACAATTCAGCAATTATATCGAGACACGGATTTTGGATTCTGGCACTTACAGCCACCGTATACAGCCCCCATATTGATGTTTCCCTGCTCAGACTTCGGCGCTTGACATGCCAGGACAAAGGAACAACCCGCTCGGTCACGATATGGATGTTGGTATCTGTCTATATTCTGTAAGTATACATGCCTAGTAGAAAGGACCGTCTCGCATCATGTCCTGTGACGAGTGCGCCCAAGGATTCCTAGTACCTCGATAGTGTCCAGCACTTTTATTACCCCGGGATGTCTCAAGGTCCGCGATTTACGTACGGCATTTCTGGCCAACGGGGTGCGAGAAACATTTGAAGAAATATCGAAGGTGAATACGCTGCACGGGGAGCCGTCTTCCTTTATAGACAACGCATTGTAAGTGAGCTGTAACTTCAGAGCCTGGGGGAGTATCATACCCGTTTGGTAGCATTATGAAGGGACCAGATTGAGTCCGAGAGGTCGACTCTGTCGCCGAGCGAATAAGGGAATGAGCTGCCTTTTGCGATCGCAGATGCGACGGCTGACTTGAGGAAATCCATGGCGGAGACGGAGCCAGTGTGTCTTGTTATACTAGGAGGATCAGTTGTTCGGGTGTACGCAGGAGCCGGGATGTCAGACGTTCCAGGTTAATGGTAATTGCTCAACTACCTGACAGCCCCTATTAGTCCGACTCAAATGTGGTAATCGGTTTGAAAAGGACACCCCGTCCTCGGAGTCTTGCAACTTCGTGAGAATGAGGGGAGACACTGATCGATTATTTGGCCAGAATTGGCCTCAGTATACCCCGCCCCAATACGGCTTAGGGCGATCGTTACTCCGTCCCTGACTACAATACAAAACACTCCGCCCGCATCTCTCCCTCTCCATGCGCTTCTTCCTTCTCTCAACACGACATTTGCTTCAACTTCTACGGCTCTAATGAGAACCAGCGAGCTGTACAGCTCTCCCGACTTTACACGGGGCTTTTCCTATTTGATCGCATATTGATGATTTATTTATGACCTGTACAGCCACTTTCTAAGCTTCTTCCTTATCTACGAATCGGTACGTCTTTCCAAGCCGCGCCCCCGGCTCTCTAACACTTTCCTTCCACCTCCATTACCGCTACGCATCTCCAGTGATGTGACACTGGTAAAAGGTCAGACCGCGTTATCCCAGAGCACGCGCTGCATACCCAGCCGAAGGTACCCCCGTCTCATGCGAGGAAAAATGCTCGACCTGGGAACTGCGGAATCCCCCCTTCCAAGATAAACCGAGAACAGGCGGCCATCTGTCCTCAGATCCTCAACTCTCCTCCGGGCTCGTTCAGCCAAACAGGCACATGATTTTGTAAAAGGCACGAGGTCCTGGCCGCGAGGCTCACGGCGTTGTTTACCTTGGAGAGACATGTGTATATTGAATCAGTAATATGGCGCCACAAACTGGGGTTCCTGGTCCGCTTCGCCTCCATGAGGAACCTCAGGAACCAATGGCTGTGGCAAACATATCCTCGGCGGGGTATCTCTACCCTTGCGACTCCCAGTCACTGTTTGAATGGACGAGGGGCACGGAGAAGTCGGATCGAAATGAGGACGCAAGATGGTGTGAGCTGTTTCCGGTGCGGAGTGGTGGAATTCGCTTTTGCTAGGCCGCTTATATTTCTTCGATGTTATTGAGTGGGAGACATGGTACCGCGGCTGCACCGTCGTCGCTCTTGGTTGAATGAAGACCGCAATATAAACTGAAAAGACCTGAGGAGATGCTAGTGGTGTTCATTGTTTACATCAAACTCCTCATACGAGCAAGACAAAACTTGATGCTAACTTTGGACGATAGGTTTAATGGAACTCCATTCAAACCCTCGTCTTAGTTCTCACGGTGATCATGTCATCCCTACTATTTTGTGTGATAGCTAGTCGTTGCGTCCCCTCTCGGAACCCGCTCCACCTCTATATAGTGAATTTGGTTTTCAAGATGGAGAATTCGAGTAGTCCAGTTTCCTCCGCAATGCCGCAAGAGCGGCTGACACGTTCTCAACGCGCCCTTCCAAATTTCCTCCGTCGTTTACCACAGCAGCTTAGATAAGAACGTCGAAGAAGTAGAAAAGCAGGCAAAATCAACAACTTAAGAAGACATAAACGAATCTCCAGAACATGATCGGCTTATAAAATTTCCAGCGGTAGGTATCTACCGCGAGGTCACAAGTAGAATTGACGGCTTTCATCTTGTATCCATCCGCGTAGGCCATCAAATAGCACAGCATCTGTCTGTTCCACAGGCAAGCGCCAAAGTACATGACTTATCAACAGTACCTCCAAAGCGGATGAATCTCGGACTTTAACGTTGAAGACACTTCCGCGTTTCTCATATAACACTTCCTGTGCGGATGCGAGCCGGAACTGAGGAAGACCACAACAGGACATCAAGACGCTGACCGCGCGATCGTCAGCATCGGCGACTCGAGCATACGGCTCCCACAGTGTACATACTACTTACCATCTTGGTGTCAGAATTTGCCCACCCGAAGGATCTTACCACTGGCAGCTTTCGACGATGAACCAGATGTACAGAAGTGGATCGGCAGAAAAAACCGGTATGAGGGAGGGCAAAGATTCCACCACCAAACAGGAAGCCTCACATCAACCGTAAGGGAGGTTAGAAGGCTCGACAGAGGCCCAGTGGCGGCGACCAGCTGATGCCGCACTTCAGCAAGATTGTATGTCTCGACTCTAGAGCGTCAACGACGGTGACATTGACATCGTTCATTTCACTTCATCTGTAGCCTCAGGTTGGGGGTTAGAGGATACAGCTGAAGGGGGCTGAGAAGACATTTGAGGTGGCATCTGAGGCATCTGGTTAAATCCGCTGCTCGGGGTTCGATGTTGATGAGGTGGATAATGATGGCTCTGATGAGGACTAGACTGGAAATGCGGTTGCTGCTGAGGATAATTACCACGAACGGGAGGCACTATTGAAAGTTAGACAATCTAGCTAGGGCCGACAACTGCAAAAACATACTATGACCTGGCTGTTGAGCAGCGTACACGGGCTGACCATGTTGCCCCGGTGACATGAACATGACCGGCTGAGGGGGCTGGCCCGGCTGGGAATTCTGATGCATCATCATGGGGGCACCGCGGCTAGGGCTTGGGTAGCCACTGTGGGGTTGCGGAGGGGCGTGCTGAGGGTATGCATGACCTGGGTTTGGAGAATACATCTGCATTTGAGGAGCATAGGGCGTCATGCCCTGAGGACCGCCCATGTATGGCCCGCTCGAGGGCTGCTGGACCATCATCGGGGCACCCATGCCTGTCTGAGGGTTGACAAACTGAGGAGCTCCCGGAAAATGCCTGAGATGAGCTGGCTGCGGACCTCCTTGGCTCACATAGAATTGTGGGACAGGCTGTCCAAACGCTAGCTGGGCATGCGGAGCCATAGGAGATGGGTACCCGTGCTGCAATCTAGGTGAAGGGAAGATCTGAGATGTCGATGCCGACATCTGCATACGGTGATGATCCTCAAAATGGCCTGGGCCAGAACCATGATGCTGTTGAGGGTGCAGGTTGTGAGGACCATGAGGAGGGCCAGAGGCAGGAGGCATTCCCGGGGTCGATTGTTGAAATTGGAAAGGCAGCTGAGGCTGGTGAGGAACTTGAGGGGTGGAAGAAGAGCGGCTTTGAGGAGAAATGGATGGAAGAGTAACGGGCTGCTTGAACATCTGGACATAAGTCTTGTCTTCGTTGGCCGGAGCTACATCCCAGGTAGGAAGGGTCTTGTAAGCCGGAGGAATGCCTCCGTTGAAATTATAGGGCTTATCGGATTGCTCCGCGCTCTCCTTCTTCATGCGCTTAATAGGGTTGAACTGGTCATTGATTGACGGTCGGTCAGAGATCGGCCGTGGCTTCTTCGCCCCAAAGAAGACAGAAGGGCTTGTAACGCGGGAGACAGAGCGGCCCCTAACAAATGGCGATGGGCTGGACGAGGCGCCGGGGGTAAAGGTACTCGCAGCCGGATTTGGCTTGAATTCCATGGCTTTCACATTAAACTTGCTTGAAACAGCAGAGGTAGGGGTCTGCGTCTTATTCGGGCTGGATACGCCGGGATGATCTGCCGCAGGGCCACTAGGAGGAATGCGAACCTCCTGAATCGGCAAAGGCGTGGGCACAGGCGCCATTGCCGCTCCCTTCCGCTGTTGCAGGTTATCAGCCAGTCGGTGACTGAGCATACCAGTGCCCGGACGACCTGGGTGTATTCCTTGGTGTGGGAGCCGCCCAGCGGGTCCAGCCTGCGGGCCGGTGGGAGGGTACATCTGGCGACCGCGAGGATAATTGGGGCGATCGGGCTGCGTAGTGGTCTGCACTGTTCCACTGACACGAGCTGTGGGCTTCTGCTCAGTGAGTCCTGAGGCAGTCTTTGAGGCCAACTTTTCCTCAGCCTGTTGTTGAGCTCTCTGGATAATTTCCTCCTGCTTCTGTGGGTCCTTCGCAAGAATAGGTACCAGGTCCTTGGGGACAGGTGTAGCAAGCTTGAAGTTCTTCGAGAATTTCATCAACTCGTTCAGCTTCACCGTCCGGTCATACGATGCCTGGTTACGGCGCCGCTCTTGCAATTTAAGTTTCTCGCTGTTGGCAAACTGACGGAAATGGTCTAGAACCTCGGCTTCCACATTTGCAGAGGCATTCTCAGCCGCGGGCCGTTTTGGAGCTGACGGGACAGATGAGGTAGCTTTGATTGGGACCGACTTTTGTTCCGACTCGGCGACCGTCGTGGTCGCTGTTGCATTCGATTTTATTTGTGTTTTGACCGTTTCCTTGGACTGGATGGGAGCCGGAGCTGCATCTTTCGGAGCTGCAACTGTCTGTTTAACGGTAGAAGTGGCCTCGGGGGCTGCAACAGGCTGAGCAGCGGGCTGCGCAGCGGCTTGTCGGCGTGCCGGCGGAGTGTATTTGTTCGGTTGTCCTGAAACAAGCGGCGGGAAGCTCTTCTCATCGCGGCGGACGCCGCTATATTTGTCTTCCTCGTCCAACCCACTGTCGTCGACTGGGGCCAAGCCTCTTTCCTCCCTGACATGAACGTTGTCAACATTGGTACCCTCAATCTCCCGAGCGATACGAGCAGCCTCTGCCTCTCTTTGTTTGTATGAAGGATCGGAACGGTTTATGCGAGTGGTGTAAATATTCTCGTCATAGCTGCTAGTGGCGCCAAACAGCCTTTCGTTGGTTTCGAATTGATCCCATCCGGTCGTATCGTGTGTACTTTCAAGGGACATGTCAACCTCGGTGTCAGCTGCAGGCTCCCATCGTTTCAGAGCTCGTTCACGCATCGCGAAGTTTCCTGAAATATCGGTATCCGTCTTGAAGCCACCTGAAGCACCTGAGGCCAATCAGCAAGGAACGTTTTTATTGTGACAAGTATTAGGGAAGAAGTAGAAATGGTGGCATACCATTGGGCGCCTTGGCTGTGACTTCCGCAGTCGAAACATTGGACACGGCAATATCGACTACTTCCTTGACATCAAAAGACATGCTGTGATCTGGCGCCGTGCCCAGAAAAGGGCTGA